CCCGTGAAATGTAGCAACTCCATGAACCGGCTCTCAAAATCCGCCACTGACATGTCCCCCTGAGTCAATCGGGACAACTCGAGCTCCTTCCCAGTCGGTGCTGCAAAAGAAATGTACTGTCCATCAAAGAAGTATATAAAATCCTCCCATGTGAGGGTCATCCTCTACTCCGGAGTAAACTGAAGTCGGTACCATCTCCCGGCATCTCCCTTCAGGCTGTAGGATGCCAACCTCTGCTTCTGCGCTGAATCTACACCGAGTATATCGAGAATATTGCTCACATCCTCTTTCCACTTATGGGCTGCAAGAGGGTCCGGTGACCCCTGGAACTCTGGTGCTCTCATCTTCTGGTACCTCTCCACCATACGGAGCCAAGCCTCCTGCTAGTCGTCACCAACTCCTCAATAGCTGTCATCCGAGCGATAAGAGGAGCCATAAGGTCCACCAGATACTGAGGAGCCTGCTGCGGCTCGGGTGGAGTCTGCTGGGGCTCGGACTGAGCTGGCTGATGAGACTCTGCCTGGCTAGCCCTCCTGGTACGGGGTCTACCTCGTCCTGCCATCTCTCTGCTCATAAGAAAATGAGAGTTTATGAGTTAAAATAGACTTCTATAAGTAACGTATCACAATACAATCTTCACAACATATAGTATTTGCACAAATACTTTAAACTTATACAAAAATAGTTGTCATAAAAAAAATTCTCAAATTTTTTGAGATATACGCATATATCGTCCTCACTCATACTAGGAATTCCTTACGGACTCTATACATGAATCCTAAGAAACTCTATCCTAGCTCCACGACTCGACACAGGATGATCCTAAGGATACTGGAACTAGAGCTCTGATACCATTTGGCATTACAACACCTTTACTATCTACATGATGAATCTCTACACCTTTATTATCTACATGGTGAATCTCATCTCCAAAATCACCTCTGACACTTACACTGTCATCACTGAACATCCTTCTCAACTTCCCCTTCAATGGGGACTTCTCTCTCAGCTTTATTCTTCACGAGGTCTTCCTCCTCAACTTTCTTCATATGTACAACATCCTCCTCAACATTCTCCTCAACATTCTTATGTACAACTTTATTCTTCATGGGCTCTTCCTCATGCACAAAGCTTAATTTTGAATGGTGTTCCTCCTCAGCTGCTCGTGGCTTCAACTTACTGTTTTTTGCAATTTTCTTCTTAATATTTTCCTTCCGCACCACCGGGTCTATAACCTCATCACGTCTTCTAAAATCTTCCACTATTCTGTTCAGTCCGTTAATCTCAATCATGAATTCTTTACAGTATATACTCTTCCTGCATTTTGTGGCAAAGAGTAATCGTTTACAAAATTTAGCAGAATTTCTTCAAAAAATAAGTTGCTTCTCAAAGGGTAAAGCTTCCACCTTATCTTCATCTTCAAAAGCCTCGTCAATATGCTTTGCAATGATCTGAGATTATTAAGAGATTAATAGAAATTAGGATTAGACATAACATGAATATTATTTACAGTTTACGTGAAATAAGTTAGACTTAACATGATATTTACATAGCCTATTGAGTAATTCTTCTTGGCTTCCTCCTCCTTCGCCTTTCTCTTTAGGCTAGGCTTATGATGCACTCCTTCCTCCCTCGGTACTACGGGTGGTAATATGCTACTACTGGGAATTACATATTTTGAGGGAACATGCCCAACTTCCACAATAGGCCTCTAAAAAGTTATTAAAGCTGTCTTTGCTTTTGATGTAATCGTCACCTTCTTCAAAGATTGAATTTTCACACCCTCTACTGCCCAATTTATCATTGGAGGTCTGAATCTGCCGATATAGACATATTTCTTTATGCCAGTCATCTCATAGTACCAAAACTGTAACAAATACAATAAGCATTCGAACAATAACAAATTTATCAAATTCACATTAAACATTTAAAACTATTAGAACTAGCATGAACAACAAATATAACTAATATGAACTGTAATAGAACTAACATGACTCCAAATAGAATTAATATGAACTACAAATAAAATTAACATGACCGCAATTAGAACTAACATGGTCTGAAAATAGAACTAACATGACTCAAATTAGAACTAGCATGAACAACAAATAGAACTAACATGAACTACAATAGAACCAACATGACTCAAATTAGAATTAACACGAACTGCAAATAAAACTAACATGAATCCAATTAGAACTAACATGGACTGAAAATAGAACTAACATGACTCCAATTAGAACTAGCATGAATTCTGCAAATAGAACTAACATGACTCCAGTTAGAATTAGCACGAACTGCAAATAGAACTAACATGAATGCAATTAGAACTAACATGGTATGAAAATAGAACTAACATGACTCCAAACAATAAATAGAATTAACATGAACTGCAATAGAACTAACATGACTCTAATTAGGATTAACATGAACTACAAATAGAACTAACATGACTGCAATTAGAACCAATATGGTCTGGGAATAGAACTAACATAACTCCAATTAGAACTAGCATGAACATCAAATAAAATTAATATGAACTGCAATAGAACTAACATGACTCCAATTAGAATTAACACGAACTGCAAATGGAACTAACATGAATCCAACTAGAACTAACATGGACTAAAAATAGAACTAACATGACTCAACTAGAGCTAGCATGAACATTAAATAGAACTAACATGAATTGCAAATAGAACTAACATGACTCCAATTAGAATTAACACGAACTGCAAATAGAACTAACATGAATGCAATTAGAACTAGCATTGTATGAAAATAGAACTAACATGACTCCAATTAGAACTAGCACGAACAACAAATAGAACTAATATGAACTGCAATAGAACTAACATGACTCCAATTAGGATTAACATGAACTACAAATAGAACTAACATTACTACAATTAGAACTAACATGGTCTGGAAATAGAACTAACATAACTCCAATTAGAACTAGCATGAACAACAAATAGAACTAATATGAACTGCAATAGAACTAACATGACTCCAATTAGAATTAATACGAACTGTAAATAGAACTAACATGACTCTAATTAGAACTAACATGAACTGCAAATAGAACTAATATGACTCCAATTAGAACTAGCATGAATCAAAATAGACTTAATACGGACCTTAATATGACACAATAGTGACATGCAACCTGGGACATATGTAACCACTAGCTTCTTCAATCCCTCCAAAGCAACTCTAATGCCTCTAATAATTTCTGTATAAAAGAATTGAGCCAATGCAACTCCTTTCACCCTCTTAATGCTATCCAGGTGCTTGAGTAGTGGTCTAGAGACACCTTCCCCGCTTCTGGGGCACCATATCATTGAGCACTGTTAAATAATTTACAGTAGAACAAAGTCTTGGATATCCTTCTTTTCTATAGATTCCACAAGACTTTCTAGTTGATCGTCAAGATATCTTCGATGGGTAATTGGTGCTTTTTTTAAACTTCCTCCCCTCTTCAGATTTGAAAAGTTTAGCAAAGTATTCCACGCAAATTCTGTTTTTGGAGTCCCGATTGGTATAAAGGATTTCCCCTTCAACTGGGAAAAAAATATGGTTATGGACCCATTCTAAATCAAATTTAACAATTTTTATTTCCCCAGTTTTTGAATCAGGATAGAAAATGTGTTACTATCGCCATTATAATAGCTCAACACCAGCTCAAGTGTGAGGCGGTCAAGTACAGGAGCTCCAAATAGTATATAGTGCTCAAATATAGTTCTACAATATGTATCCCTATGCCACTGACAAATCTTTGGGGCAAGACGCTTCATAAATTTCCAATAAGCCCCAATATTGATGCTTAGCCTTATTTCACCAGCATCACCAACTTTTTTCCTGAAAATAAAATCAAACGTTCAAGTTAAATTAGACTTAGCGTGAACTGAAATTAGACCTAACACGAACGAGCTTTTAATAGAACCAACACAAACTGTTATAATAGAATTAAGATGAACTCCAATTAGAACTAACATGGACTGTTATGCACTGTTCTAGACCTAGCACTTAACTTGAAAATGGAATTAACATGAACCTCAGTTTAGATAACCTAGCACTTACTGCTTTTTGGGGTTGGATTCGTTGGAACTAGCCGTTGTTCTTCTTCTTTTCCGGCCTCGCCATTCTACTGCACCCCTTCGCATGACCAAAAGGGCTTTCGACGCTTCCTCTGTGGTGCCAATCCCAGATGATTCACGAAGTGCGACCGAAGACTGTGATCTGGCTTCGTCTATGTCCTGCCGTTCACCACGATGAACGACTTCGAAATCGTTAACGGATGTTTCCTTGGACGACATTTTCACGGCGAAAACCCTAACCAAGATTGCAAACCGGCGATTTTTTGGAGTTTGAGAATTTCGGTGGCTTCTCAGCGGTAGAAGAGAGAGGGTACTTGAGTGGGGGAGGGGGCGCAATTACCGAGTTCAATCAAATCAAAGGGTGATTTTGTAACTTCACTGTGTTTTTCTCTACTTTGGGGGCTTAACTCAAATACGATGTGTATCTGGCGCTGAATCACATGGCCCAAAATTCAGAGGGCAGGTCACATGTGTTTCCAATATTTGGGGGCATCGACACAATTTTCCTTACTATTTTTGATAACTAACAATAATATTATTTTTCAAACATAATAACAGTAAATATCGATAAATTGGTAAATTTAAAAGAATAGCTACAAATTTAATTAATCATATTTATATTCAAAATACTCCCTTCTCAACATTTCTCATCCGCCTCATCCAAAACGCACCCACCCTCCACCCTTTGGCTTTAAGTTCGGTTCCTTCCCTTTAATTAACTGCCCACCCCCAACTTCTCTAATCCCTAAAATACCCCGAATCCAACAAGAATCTCTCGAAACTCTATACGCCGTCTTACCGTCATTGAACGAAGTTCGAGGGGCAAGAAAGGAAAAACCCCTGACAGGTTTTATCCCTACGCTAGATCCCTTCGTTCCCTTCGACTACGAAAGCCCAAAAGCCTCGCTTGCGCACTCAAAAACTCAAAAAGATTTTTAATTTAGTTTAATTTCATCCTATTATTATCGTCGTCATCATCATCAAGGCAAAAAAGAGTCAAACGCTTTGCTTTCTCTCTTCTCGCCGTCTCCCGATTTCTCTCTCTTGCTTTCTTTCTCTCTCTATCTGCTAAAGGTACGCCCTTTCTCCCTCTAGGGTTTCCTGATTCTGCGAATTTGGGAACCCTAACTTCACTTTTCTTGTAATACATCTGCTCGTCGAAATTTTGATGCCCTAGCTTTTATGTCAAATTTTTATTTGGATTTTTGACACCTTAAACCCTTGCTCCGGTCTTGATCTCGGTGATTGGGCTTTCAAATTTAGACCTCATCATGGCTTACGGTTTATGCCAAGAAGCGTTCTTTTATTGATTTGAACTGTTGACCGTTCTGGATCATGGGGATTTGCGTATTTATTTGCATGTTTTTAAGTAATTGATATCGGTAGTTTGTTGTAAAGTTGGTTGGTGATTCAAATTTGGTTTATGAAAATTGTGCAGAGTTTGGTGGCAAGCTTGTAAATTTGTACTAGTTATTTATTTGGGAGTTGAATAAAGTTGGAATAGAGTTGGTTGGTTAAGTTCGTGTAAGGGACTGGTAGCAGAAGTATTGGGAGCTTACTTGTGAGCTGTGTAATTACACCATTGAGCTTTGATTCCGGGAGCTTTGGTATTATTAAGCCTGCTGTGATTAGACTAGAGATACGTTTTTTGGGGACTTATGTTGGTAACTGCTTCAACGGCTCATGGTCAGTGATAGTTCACAGAGTAACTTGCAATGGTATGGTTAGAGGCATTATGCCGGATATTGTAGGGAGAAATGCAAAGGTATCCTGCTACCAGCTTTGGCAGTGGAGTCAGTAACAATACAGTTGGTGGGGCATCTTCTAGGGAAAATGCAAGGGTAGACTCAGGCTTTTCGACATCAAACTTCTCTTTGAATTCCAGGTAACTGTTGTTTATTTATGTTCTCACTTTTATTTGATAGTGATTTTCCCTCAAAAACATAAGGCTTTCCCATGGGAAAACAATTTTCAGTATCTTCTTTATGGATGTGTTATCAAGCTGAAGGGAAAATGCGTAGTTTGCTTGAATAGATAAGATATGTAGCTAGCTTCTTTCATTTTTTGTTTTGAGAAGAAGCTTCTATCGTTTTGTTGTACATATATAATATGTTTGCTGTAGGTTAATTTCTACACGAGTATTATCTTTTCAAATTCGCTAGTTCTTAATACTCTGAACATCTGTCCTTTTATTGGGACAAGTGCAAGCAAATAGCTCATATGGGATCATAATTAGCCTAAAAGTCTCATGGGAGAGTTTTCCTTTTTGAAGGGCAGGGTCACATGAACTGGGACAGTGGAAGAAATGACACCATTTATGAGCAATCTCTCTCTCTCTCTCTCTGATCCAACTCGTTCAGCGACCTTAAGATAGTTTGCGTCCTTCTGAAGTTTCACTGTTACTAAAATAGTGGGTGGGACAATAAAATGGGAGAAGTTAAACAGCTGTAGTAGAGAAATAAGCTCAAGGGTAATGCATGTGAGAACCATGCTAATGAGTGAAGGGAATGGAAACAAGTGATGACGTTGGCAAAACCTCATTAAGTTTAAAATATATGCCTACTATCATTTCAAATCTAAATTCTTTGAAATAATGAGTTTGTAAATATCAATCTATGTCACCGGGGGTACTTCCAATCTGAAGCTGTATTCGTACCCGACCCGTATTGTACCCAAACTCTTTGGACACTCATTGCATATATGCATACACTTAGTCGAACATGTACTCACTTATACAATACATGTTCTAATTTAGATCACTTATTATACATTTTTGGACATATACCCTACACTTTAAATCCACTTCTTGAAACTCGTTGGACATAGGTTAGGTTTCGAATTATGATTTTGAAGGCTCGCTTGGATGTCTTGTTCAAAAAATAGTGATTTTCCAAATTAAAATCCACAATAATAAAAGAAATATAAAAAATATGATAGGAATTTTAATTTTCATTCTTGTTCTCATAGAGGTTATTAATTCCAATATACAATATATGTGTGTATGAATATTTATATAGTTGTGTCATTGTACCCTACCTTTTACTTTGCCATGTCCCGTATTCGTACCCATTACCTGTAACCGTACCCATGCAACATAGAGAGGGAGGGAGGGAGATAAATTAAAAGCTGCAGAAGATTTCCTTAGAAGACCCTGATTGACTGAAATTGAGACAAACAAATCCCATTTCAGTTCCTATGATGCGCAAATTCCATCATTCTCTTTGCTTTATGACCTCAAACAGTTTACTCCATTTGTCACACTTTCACATTTACTTCTTGCAGAGGATTATACTCCTGTTTTGTTCTTAACTTTATTTATCCAAAAACGTTGAATTTGGGAGTTATCCATGGTTTTTATTTGGCGTAACTCGAAGGAAGTGGGTAATTACTGAATATGGTTATTTCATTTAGATTTAAGGGCAGATAGTACGAGTTAATTGCTTGGGCAGTTGAGCTCCATAAATTTCCTCCCTTATGCAATTTCTTAGGGGGTGTTCTGAATTAAAAGTTAAATACCATCTTTTAAACTGCTTGTGCAGTGGTCATCGGCTATTTTCGTGACTTAGAGAGCACATGCAGAAATTGTACAGCACATGAGTTTTGCTCTTTGAACTTTGTGTTTGAGGCAAGCTTGTCGATCACATGTCTACTAGTACTACTGTACACAATATCTGGAAGAAGTGTGTTTTATTCATGATATATTATTTAAAGAAAACCTTTACTTCTCAGCATCACAGTATTTATTCTGGTAGTTGTTGATTTCAATTCTTACAAATATTGAACTCTCTTTTGCAGGCGATCATCACCATTAATACCATACAAGCTTAGATGTGATAAAGAACCTCTTAATAATCGGTAAACTGTTATACTTGAATGTTTCTGACTGGAGGATAAGCATTACTCTATTTCTTTTAAGTGGGAAATATTAATCTCTTAACAGGGACAATCCTTCATGTATGTTTCTGAATGAAAAGTTAAATACCATTTTTTGGTTATTTTAAATGCCCTTTTCCGTTTTCTTTTTCCTAAATATGGTATTAGGAAATGATGTTTTTTATGTTATTTTTACTCAAATCTTGGAATGTTTTGATACAGCTTTAATCCCTGTGTCCCCCTTTTCTTTTGGTTCTAGACTTGGGCCACCTGATTTCCATCCACAGACTCCACACTGCCCAGAAGAGACTCTAACTAGGGAATATCTTCAATCTGGATACAAGGGAACTGTTGAGGGAATCGAGGTTTGTTTTTTTGTGTTCTTTGTTTGTTTAACTCATGTGGGTTTTGACCATTCTCTTGAGCTTGACTTTTGTTCTGGCCTCGATAATTTGACATGCCCTTTCAAATATATTGAATCAAATGTCCTTTTTTTTGAAACTGGTTTGATTGGGGATTTTAGAATGTTTATTAGTATTTTCATTTGTAGAAGCGTATTATGTTTTTGTTGCTGCTGCTGCTGCAATATGTTGTCTCCACCTCAGTTTGCAGTAGAATAGTTGTTTATGCAAAAATATTTGTTTACTTGAAAAGTAGAAAGTTATGATTCCTTCGGGTTTACATGACTTTTGTCTCATGTTAATGATTGCCAATGAAAAACTTAATTTTTTGTAGAACTGAGTTAGTGATATCTTTGTTACAGTTTATATAGAAATCTTTCTTTAGTTATCTCTCATTTAAGAGCCAAAAAAAGCACCGACTTATTTTTGTCATTTATTTCTGTCTCTCTTCTTCTAAAAAATGAATATATTCTTTTCAACATTGACAAAAATCATGCACTGAGATGCCGACGTTTGTTATATTCTCTTCTATTGGAATACAACCATATATTTGTCTCCTACTTGGTTATAGATACATGCAAAGGTAAGCTCGTTTTTTGGATTTCCTGCTGGAACTATAAACTAGTCATGGTCAAGTATGCAAGGAATAGAATCAAATTGGCTAAAAGAACTGCATAATATCATCTTGGAAAATGCAATTTTGTGCTAAAATGAAGTATACTAGACTTAAGGAGTTAAGTACTCTTCTCACCTAGTATGCATGGTGTGTACAGCTACCCGTAACTAAGACTTAAGTTAATCCTCTTTTCTCCTAACTGGTGTAGTCTACACGACTGGAACATTCTTTCGTTTTCCATCCTTTTTATTCAGCTCACTGCCTAAAGGTGGTTTCAACTTAGTTTGCATGTTATGATCGAGGCACAAAACTATCATCATCATATTAACTAGAAATTATGATTGCTTTTTTTTTTTCAATGTTTTGAAAGAAACTGCAAACTTCAATTCTCTGAAATTCAGTGTACAGTTATGTTTAATATAGAGAACTAAACATGCTGATGCTCTTATAGGATATTTGATTTGGTTCTCCCTCCTTTGAATTTCGTACTTTTTGGCCATTATTGGTTTGCAAAGAATGAAAGAAGTTCTCCCTACATAATCTTACATCTGTTGTATCATAGCAAATGCGGAACCTTTTAAGATCATTCCATCAGGACTTATATTTGATCTCTAGGTACGAATTACCCTAATAGTGAATTGTTTAATCTGTGGCTCTGAATTATAATTTTCTTGTTTCCCCAAATCAATCTGATTAACAACTTGTTATCTATAAATCTGTGGCTATCTTAGTCCTCATTTCTACAAGTTTAATTTCATTTTTTCCACGAGTCACGAGCATATTAAAATAGGAGCATGCTTGGAGAAATTTACCACCCTTTTCCATATCAGCACAACTAGCTGATTTCATAGGAAATTAAGAAAAAGTTGGGAGTGTTACGATAAAACATACTATTTATTTTAATAATTTTTGTTAAATTTTAGTACTCTTAGTTGAAACATATTTCAGAATTGGTAACAGATCACTTCCTTTAATAAATTGGTACTTTTACACAGAAGTATTGTGATACATGTGAGTTTTTTTCTTCAGATTCTTTACTTAAAAACCCTTATTTAAAATCTTTGTAACGTTCGCTTTGTGTCACTACTAGCATAGTTGATTTTAATATTAAGGATAGTATTTTGTGAACAATGGCTTTCATGTTTTGGATTAGAAATTAGGAAAAGTTCTCAGCAAAGCACATATGAACAGGAGTAGAAATGAAGGTAGGTCCCAACAGATTTATTGAAGTAAATAGTCGCAATCGTTTTCAAACTACTATAGTTGCAAAATGCGCAACGTCTCTTGCAAGGTCGAAGGAATGTGTACCTGCAAAATAAGTCTCATTATGCAAGGAGTAACTAGTAAGAAAATGCAACTGTAAACGAACTATTGAGCATGTATATATAATAAAAATAAGGAAATACCAACTATCAAATAAGGAAAGAGGGAGATGGTTGTCTAATCCATTTCATTAGTAAATCAAAACAAGATAATTTGTAATGTGTATTTATATTATGGGGATCTTATAAAAAGGGAGTTCTGAAGAAACGTATTTTAATACCGACTTAATGAAAAATCACGTGAAAACTATAAAATTCGAAATCACAAATTTTTATCTCTAATTTTTGGAATTTATTTGCAATGCTTTGGTAAAGTTCCGGAGAGAGGTACTACAATTAACCAGATAGAATATTTAGATGGTATATCGTAAAAATGTAAGGTGCTTTTAACTTTGGATACACAGCTTGAATCTGCCTGGAATCTTCGTGAAGGAGTTCACATACAGAAATTGCGTGGCATGTTAATTCGTCATGTTAGGACGCTTTGATCCTGCATTAGATTTTAATTGCTGCCTGTCAGCACCAACTTGACTGCAATACGTACCAATATCTGCAACCTACTTTTCATACAGGCACCCTCTACTTACTACCTATTTCGTATTCTGGTAAATTATTCCATTGTGAGCGCTGAAGTGACATATAAATCAACCTAGCTATGGAAGTTAGGCTCTGTACTGAATGTGGTTTAGTCCCTGCTCACCCTGTGATTGTTGATAAAAGGTGATTGTATCAATGTGTGTAACAGTTAAATGAAAATGTTATCTTTCTAAATGATTGTATGTGTAACAGTTAAAAAATTAAAATGTTATATGTCTAAATGATTGTATATGAGTGTCATGGAAGCATCCCTTCAGCATTATATTTCTAAATGATTGTATATGAGTGTCATGGGAGCACCACTTCACCTTTATATTTCTAAATGATCATATATGAGTGTCATGGGAGCGTCACTTCGGCTTTGCTCTTGTTTTCAGTTCTCCTATATGGTTAAGCTGCTTTTTGATCCTTTCGTACAAAGTTCACAGACTTAGAGGGACCATACCCCATATTAATTTTATTAATTGACAAAGTTCACTTATGCAGGCAGCACTTAGTTAATGTTCTTTTTTTCTGTTTCCCTAGAAACCACCTTAAAAATGGAGCAATTCTATAGGAATTAGGAACTACCTATGAATTTCAGTTTATACACAAACCGCTTTTAATTCGGGCTTGTGTTTCAATCAACTGCCTCTAAGGGGGGTTATTCATTGGGGTAATTTTGGAGATAATGGGTAAAATTGTTCCAATGGGTAATTTTACCCAATGGGATAATTTGAGTGGGATAAAGTGGGGTAAAATGGGATAATGGGACAATTTGAGTGGGACAATTTGTATGACATCTTTTTATAATATTATATTTATAGCTCATTAAGTTCAAGTTTAACTTGATATAACAATTATAAATAATAGTATTACATATTTATAACTCAATTGTATTACATATTTTAATTCTATGATCCCAAAATCTTCTGCAAAAATGTTCAAACATACAACCCCAAAATTTTCTGCAAAAATGTCGTAGCACAAACCAACTCCTCCTCACTACATTCCAACATTACTCAATTAAAATTGGTAAATTTTAGGTAGCAAAGTGTCAATAAAATTACTTGACAGATGTTAAAATTTTGCATCGACAAAGAGGGCAATCAACCGAAATACACCAACCAGTGATCAACACAAGCTCCATGAAACCCATGACTAGCTACATTTCATTCAACACTCTCGCTTCCTCATCAACAGCAGAAGGATTCTCAGTAAATAGAAGAAAACGTCGTCGGATTTTGCTCCTTAGCTTCCTGCTCAATCTCTCTTTGTTGATGCAGGGCTTTTTTCATAATCTTAAGAGCGCAGATTCGACGAAATCAGCTGGAAAAGCAAAAAAAAGTAAAACTTTAACTAACAATTTAGATAAAAGGGATGATGATCAAAGGGATTAAGAGCTCAGATTCGATTTACCTTCTCACCTACTTGGTGAAGCTTTGGATCGCGAGAGCGCTTTTTGGAGACGGATTCATTGTCGGCGGCGGATGGCCTGCTTGAGGCAGAGGGCGACGAGGGAGGAGAAGAGGAAGGAGGAGAAGGAGAAGACGTGGAGGGAGACCATGGGTGGAGGGGAGGCGGAGCAGGCAGAGGGGGCCGCGGAGGGGTCGGAGAGGTTCCTGTTTTGGGCTTCTGGTGATGCCGTCGAGGGTGAAGAGGGAGTTTACGTTGGTGATGCCGTTGAGGGCGGTGATACGAGACGGAAGTGGGGAATTTGTCCCCCTCTCTTGTTCCAGGAAGCAATATGGGGTAAAATTTTGGGGGTGGGGCTGAGGGGGGTTATATAGCTGGGGTAATTTTGGGGGAAGTGGGGAATTTGTCCCCAAATTATCCCCACAAACCAATAACACCAATCAAGTGAATCCAGCCACAATTATCCCAATGAATAACACCAAAAAGTGGTGTTCCAACTTTTATCCCATTATCCCCAAAATTACCCCAATGAATAACCCCCCCTAAGTCAACATTTTCACTAAAAATCTAAAAATATCCTTAAAAAACTCACATTCAAAGCACATGACTCGTTATGTTAGTGTTTAGGTCTAGTTAGGATACAAGTCAGTAACATGGACATTGAACGCCAATTTTTTAATTGAACGCCAACTTTCTAAATTAATTTTGCTTTTTTAGTGAAATTTGGGAGGTGGCTGATTGCAACACAAACCCACTTTAAATGTAGTTTATAAATTGAAATTCGGAGGTGGTTCCTGTAGAATTACCTATTTTTAAGATGGTTTCTGTGAAAAAACCCATTTTCTTTGTACATGGAACTTAGTATTGCACTTACCAGTATACTCCTTTTCCCCCCTCTCATTTTACTACTGTCAAAACAAGGTCATTGGTCTTTGTCGAATAACTTACATTCTATTGTTCAAAATTATTGGACTGTAATTATAAATTATTTTCCAATCCTTTGAAGTATTTTTGAAGCTACTTTTTGGAGAAGCATAGTGCAATAATGTATTTATCATTGTATTAACATAAGTCTTATCTCTGATTGAGAATCGAAATACTGAATTGGGAGATGAATTTGAAATCTAAACTTATAAACCAACATAATGTAAAATATATCTTTACAATAAAATCCTAAAGTACACTTAGTTAATTATAATAAAAGGCTAATTACTGTCCGATCATATTTCTTATTTATTAAAACGAGTTTCGCTTATGCACAAGTATAGAGTATATCAGAACTTTGTTCTTAGTTCAGATTACAAAATACAAGTGTAGAAATGACCATACTCTGATTTGGTCAAGGAAGCTGAAAATCATGTGATGGTTTGTTTCTATTTTTAAATTTTTGAATTTTTCTGATAATTAATATTTCCTTTTCATTTTATAGTTTTATAATCCTCATTTTGTCTAGAATTGTATTTCTGTAGAATATATCCTTCAAGTTATATGTTTTCTTCAAGCCCTCTGCGCTTCCTTGGAGTCCTTTCAATCTAACTATTCCCTTCTTCTTGGATGCATTAGGAAGCTAGAGAGATCGTACTGACCCAGGCTACACATTTCTCAAATTCTGAGGTCATCTTAAAATGCAAAGAGGTACTTGACTGATAGAATCTGTTTATCTTGGTTGCTTTTTACAGTCTCTGAAATGCCTAATGTGTTCTTAGAAGAAGCAGTTCTTTAACTCATGCACCATTTTTGCAATGTTTTAATATTCAAGCACTGCTATTTTTGATGATGTAAAAATATCAGTTCTATTTTCATGTCTTGAAAGAAGTTCGTCGGTAATGCCACTGTTTCATCCTTCAAGCAGTAAATGTTATCTGATCTTTTTTTGTTGGGGTTGAAATTTACTTCTTCTGCCTCAGTTTTTATAGTGAAATAACTTGTTTGAGTGAAGAGAATGAGATGAAACTGCAGTCAATAGCTCTTAGTAGACTGGCTTACTCAAGATTGGCATGTGAAGGTTCAGTAGTAACATGTAAAGCTTATGTGTTTCCTCTTCAGGCAATTCGGAAACGTCTCAGACTTATCAATGAATCTCGTGCTCAGAAGCGAAAGGTTGGTTCTCTGATATATTTTTATAGTCCATAATAATTTGTTTGATTCATGTGAATGCACTCATTCGAGTTTTAGCAACTACCAGTTGTGTTAGAAACTTAGATTTGACATGTAACAGGCTGGCCAGGTTTATGGAGTGCCTCTTTCCGGTCCATTACTGATAAAGCCAAGTGTTTTCCCCGATCAAAGGCCATGTGGTGAAGATTTTCGTAGAAAATGGATAGAGGTTTGTGATAGAGAACATCACTTAAATTTTTTTTTAAAATGCACATGCTGCAGTGAATATCTAAAATTTTATCCACTGACCATCCATTCATTTGGACTATATGGTTTTACATTTTAATTTATTCCTGGTTATCTAGAACTTGCGTTAGTTAAAATGAGTAAGACCGTTTGTTTTTTTCTATGCATGATGCATAATATTGTGATAGTTATTGAAATGTTACACACAGCTTAGAAATGAACTAAGATTTGCATACTCTTAGACAGGATCATGAGTGTTATATTCAGTGTATACATAGCGTGTGATTATATGCGTGTTCCTCTGTAATTATATGCAAGTGGATCTCTCTATAGTGAAGCCTGTTTCTATGTTGGAACACTGCACTTATTGCAGTTACATTGTGATTGCACATGCTACTACTTTTCATTGTGCCTGTGTTTCTTGGTGTATATTTCTTGGTCAACATGTGTATGTTGGTATATGTTCTTAGCATATAAATCTATCTTAGCATATAAATCTATCTGCTCTTTTGTTTGGCCTGTGTATGAAGTCACCTTTAGTCACTAAAAAAGACGAACTATTTCGTTAATTGGTTACATAATGTCATAATTAAAAAAGTATAGAAACATGCTTTTCATGTTCTTCCTTTAGCAAAACGCAAAATAAGCTACAAAAGTAGCAATGTAAAAATAAATGGCAGCCATTGATGAATACATTTGCGGTCATACATGGATGGTCACGAAACTCTGGGACATGTCCTACTTATGACAGGAAACCTTGGAGGGATAGTTACTGTAAGTTAATGTCATTTCATTTGTCTTTTCGCTTGTGTAGTTGATGAATGGTTTTTTTGGTGCGATCATGTTTGAAACCTTATCCATTAGCATAGGGTCAGTATAAGGCAAAACTGTCGTGAACTATGTGCATATGGCTCTGTCAACACCTTACATGAGGCCTTCAGTCTGTTGGAATGAGGAAACTATGAATAAGGAGGGGCTTCCTGTAAATCCTGAAAGATCACTTGGTAGGTAGGTAATCTTCCATTTTGGGTAGTGCAGTGTGAGCTACTTGGCATGCGCTATGTACTCATAGGTGGATAAAAGAGGCAATGGTCATAGGGGATATGGTGCCTGCTCAATTGCATTTAGCTTGTGAGGTTTGAAAGGTAAGTGAGTGGGACGAGGTGACATTTTTTTGTTGCTTGGAAGTATCAAAAGTTAGCAGCTCATGTTTCTCAGAGGGGGTTGTAATTACCTGTTTGCTGTGGAAGGTAGAGAAGTTCTTGCCAGGATTCAAATTGTGCTATCTTTAAGCTGGTATGGGGTTCTTCTGTCATATTACAACCATGGGCAAATGGAGGCCCTTTCTTTGCGCGTTATGGTATTAGAGAACCAAGAGCAGCGAGCGAACAAAGAAAGAGTTGTAGACTCATAATAAAGGGAACACTGATAGATTTTATGTAGGACTAGAAGTCAGCTTACATGTATGCACAACAAGCCAAGGAGAAAATTAGTTTGTGTGTATTTCAAACTCACAACAAGACAAAGAGAACTTGGTCAGAAGCTATTAAGAAATATATGATTGTGATGAACCTAATAAACTGAATGGAAGAACAGGATTCATGTAGCCAACCCCAAAATTTTTGGTTAAGGCTCTTGTTGTTTGTTATAGAATTGCTTCTGCTTGTCTGTCTGTATTTCCGTGTGTTGTTTCACAGATATAGATTCATATATTTTCCTATTGGTGTATTTAAAGGAAGTAAGTTTGTCTATGTCTGTATGTCCATGTGAATGCACCTCAAACATGTCCACTGGGTGAGGAAACCAGTGCCTGAAAGAGGGATGTATGTACATGTATATATGTATTATGCACTATTCTTAATCTTTTTGTATTTTATTATATATTGTTGTGGTGTTTCTTTAAATGTTTATTCAAGTGATTTTTTGTACTCCCATGTATTTCCTTATATGCACTTTGTGTGGATGTCCTATTAAAAATATGGCGTCTAAATACTCTTTGTTAATTGTTATTGATAATTTGGTCTCTCTCAAATGTACAATTTTAGTTAATAAATTAATTTCTGCATTATTCTCATCAGATTTATTGCTGGCCTTTAACTGTGCAATGAACTCATGGTTACAAATATAATAAGTATAATATGTGCATGTATTATATACATGTATAGCTATACTTTATATTCTATATTGATGCTTCTCTCACAAGTAAGAGGGTTTGTTTCCTAATTGCTTATATTAATCCTCATCATTAACTGGTTTTGCTAGGCTTTATCACAGCAGCATAAAAGATTGCATTCTTTGGCTGACCATGTCCCTCATGGTTATCGAAAGAAATCTCTCTTTGAAGTACTCATTCGTTATAACGTTCCATTACTAAAAGCTACATGGTTTATTAAAGTTACTTATCTTAATCAGGTAAGGTATCAGACCACAGAATTGGTCATTTTTTCTTTTGACAAGTTTTTTAGTTCCCTTCACCTATCTCAGGTTTAAGGCATTAAATTTTGTTACCAGGTTCGCCCTGCCACCACTAGTGTTTCATCTGGAACACCTGATAAAGCACAATTTGCTCGTAGTGAGTTGTGGACCAAGGATGTCATTGAGTACATGGGCCAGCTCTTGGATGATATTTTCCCAAAAGATGGTTTATCAGCACAGCACCGACCTGACTCAGCCTCTGCTATCTATGATGTTGAAGAGCCTTCCTTGCAGTTTAAATGGTGGTACATGGTTCGTCTTTTAAACTGGCATTATGCGGAAGGTCTTCTTCTTCCTTCTGTTATCATTGAATGGGTCCTTAATCAACTTCAGGTAATCGATCGCTTTCCCTATGCTTTAAAGAGAAGCGTTCTACTATTTCTTTATTTAATCAGCATCTGTTTGTCATATTTTAAAGTTTTCTTTCCCAAACCATGATTCAGGAAAAGGAGTCAGCTGAAGCTTTAGAGTTGCTTTTGCCTGTTGTATGTGATTTTATTGAGGGTATATCACTCTCACAGACTTATGTACGGACTTTCGTGGACATAGCTGTTCGATCCATTAATGATCTTTGTCCAGCTGGTTCGAGTTTATTAGATGATCCAAAAATTCCATCCCTCGCTTCAGCCTTGACCGAGATGCTTCATTATTTGATAATTGCTGTGCCTGATACCTTTGTGGCGTTGGATTGTTTTCAGATTCCGAGCTGTGTTTTTCCTGATATAAGGTTCAGAAATGCTTTGAAAAGGACGCCTGATCATGAAGATGATGATCACATAGACAAAGAAGATACTTATTTTCGATACTTATCCGTTGGGTATGTGATTTCCACTGTTCAGAAACGTGCTTCTAATTTTGCAAAGATCGTCAATCCTAGCTTTCATGGCCTCGGTGCAGCAAAAGTTATTCAGGTCTTAGATAAAGCTCTGTTGGTAGGAGATTTGAGGTCTGCTTACAGTTCTCTTTTCGGAGATTTGCCTGATGGGATTACTGAAGAACGATGGATGACAGAAGTTAGTCCATGTTTGCGGTCTTCGTTGAAGTGGATTGGGGCTGCTAGCTTGTCTCTTATTTGTTCTGTATTTTTCCTATGTGAGTGGGCAACATGTGATTATAGGGACTTTCGGACTTCCCCGCCTCATAAAATGAAGTTTACAGGTGGAAAGGATTTTGCACAAGCATACATGGCGGTGCTGCTCCTAAAGCTTAAAAAGGAAGAGATGCATAAGGCACTCGACTCTAAGAGTGCCAATGATATCAGTGACACATCTGTTTCTTTGCATGATAATGTTTTTGGTCAAGCTATACTAGAAACTGCTTCTGTTGGAAATCATATGAAGAACTCAGCTGATAGAAAGAGAAGCACAGATGTTTTCCAAAGTCCTGATCCATTGCATGATATTATTGTTTGTTGGCTGGATCAGCATGAGACTGGGAGGGGTTTCAGAAGTTTCAAGCGACTTCAAGTTCTTGTTGTTGAACTAATACGTAATGGCATCTTTTATCCTCAGGCTTACTTAAGGCAATTAATAGTCAGTGGAATTATGGATCAGAAGGAGACTTCATTTGACATGGAAAAACGACAAAGACATCAGCGAATTCTAAAGCAGCTGCCTGGGTCCTGTTTGCTTGATGTCCTAGAAGAATCCCAAACTGTAGAAGCTGGAGTGCTGTATGAGACTGCCCGTATTTACTCAAGTGAACGGAGACTTGCCCTTCACGGATTTCTCAGTGATTGTGCCAGTCATTCGAGCACTAGCATGAGTTTAGTTTTGCAAAACCAAAAGAACCTTTCAGCTTCTGTTAAAGATGGTACTACTTCATCTACTTTGTTCAAGTCGTGTAGAAAATCAAATGTTTCATCATCTTGTAAGCCTTCTAAAACAAAGAAGCAAGTTGCAGAATTAAAGGGCTTGATTTCAACTTTGTTTTGTCTGCCATATTCTTGTTCCATGCCAACTGAAGCCAATGCTGATGAATCTTTTGAGAGTATGAAAAGACCTTTGAGCTCTTTTGGCATCAAGGTTGAGGCTGAAGCTACCCCGGGTTGTGAGGAATGTAGGAAAGCCAAGAGACAAAAGTTAGGCGAAGACAGGAGTTCTTCCTATCAAGTGTTTTCTTCAAACCAGTCAGATGATGAGGATACTTGGTGGGTGCGAAAGGGGCCAAAATCCCAAGATCCATTTAAGGTTGATCCACCACTTAAGTTGGCCAAAAATGCCTCAAGAGGTAGACAGAAGATGGTGCGCAAAACTCAAAGTCTTGCACACTTGGCTGCTGCTAGGATTCAGAGTAGCCAAGGGGCATCTACTAGTCACATATGTGATAACAAAATAAGTTGCCCCTATCATAGATCTGGTACAGAGGGTGAAGTTCCTAGAGATATTGAGCAGAAAGCTCTACCTCTTGGTGAAATTGGGAAGTGTCTAAAACAGCTTAGGCTACTGGAAAAACGGTCAATTTCAACTTGGTTACTGACATTAATGAAACGCCTGCTGGAAGGAAATGATAAGTCTACTTCGAAGCAGAGTAATTACAGTGGTGCCTTCTCTGTTTCATCGGATGATAGGAATGCTGGACAGTGGAGACTTGGTGAAAATGAGCTGTCTGCCATCTTGTACATATTGGATATTTCCTGTGACTTGATTTTGGCCGTCAGGTTCATTTTATGGTTGTTGACAAAGATTGGTAGTTCACCAAGCAGTACGGTCTATATAGGAAGAACGGCCATGATCCTACCAAAAAGGAGGGAAGCCCATACCATTCAAGTTGCAGAGGCATTTCTATTATCAGCTCTTCAAAGGTATGTTTTCTCGATCCATTGGGTGTTAATTTATGCATATTGGTTGAAGGTCTTGTGAATCATTTTTATTTTACTTTCTTTACTTAATTTTTATAGCTATTTTATTATTTCTATACTTAACTATGCATTGTTTTCATTTTGTTTCTCCATCAAGGCAAACATATAACTTTCTTTCACATAGTTCTTAGGTCTCCTCCATTATTTGATATTCTTTGACATCATGACCTCATGGTAGTTCTGCAGTGCCATAAATATCCATTTTTTTGCTGATATTGTCATGTCATTAATCTACAAATTCGTCACCTTTAATGTTAACTTATCATTTATTGGCGCTAAAATTTAATATGATTTATCAGACATTTGATTTCCATTTCAGGTATGAGAACATAATTGTAGCAGCAGACCTTTTGCCAGAAGTTCTAGCCGCTGCAATGCATCGAACTGTTTCTATGATGGCCTCAAATGGAAGATCTATTACTTCAGCAGCTTTTACTTTTGCTCGAAATTTGCTCAACAAATACAGAGAAGTTGCTAGTGTAGTAAAATGGGAAAAGAAGTTTAGATCTACATGCGATCAAAGACTGCTTGCAGAACTTGATGCAGGACGGACGTTAGATGGGGATTTAGGATTTTCGTCTGGGGTCTCTGCTAGTATGAATGATTTTGATGATTATTTTCGTCAAAAGATGAGTGGAAGGACGTCACGAACTGTATCGATCATGAAACAAATAGTCCAAGGACATGTTGAGGAATCTGTTCACTATTTCTATGGAAAAGAGAGGAAGGTTTCAACTGGGGGAACTTCTAAAAGCCCTCCTGAAAAATGGGATGATGCTTATCAGGTAGCTCAAGACATTGTTCAAGGGCTAGTAGACTGCATTCGGCAAAATGGTGGTGCAACTCTGGAAGGGGATCCTTCCATAGTGGCCTCTGCTGTTTCTGCAATTATTAATAGTGTGGCACCAGCTGTATGTAAACTGTTAGATATGAGTACAAACAACTACCAAAATGTTTCATCTTCAATGAGTTCACGTAGTTTTGTTGGGCACATTCTACACATTCATATAGCTTCTCTGTGCTTGCTTAAAGATGCGCTTGGAGAACGTCTTGGCCGTATATTTGACCTAGCTTTGGCATCTGAAGCCTCTTCCATAGTTTCTGGAGCTTTTATTTCTGGAAAGGCTCATCGTAGTCAATTTCAATCTTCTCCTGAAACCCATGATATGAGTCCAAACCTTTCAAATGAAAATCTGAACAACTCTGGTAAGTTACATGCTGGAAAGACTACAAAAGCTGCTGCAGCTGTATCTGCTCTTGTTATTGGGGCGATTGTTCATGGAGTTGTTAGTCTCGACAGGATGATAGTCATTTTGAAGTTAAAGGAAGGCTTGGATGCCCTACATTTCATTAGAAGTACTAGGACCAGTTCAAATGGGATGCTACGTGGTGGTTTCAAACTTGAACATTGTGTTGAAGTATATGTACATTGGTTTCGGTTGCTTGTTGGTAATTGCAGAACTGTTTTTGATGGATTAGTCGCAGATATTGTGGGTGAACCTTACATCTTAGCTCTTTCAAGGATGCAGCGGATGCTTCCTCTCAGTTTGGTTTTTCCTCCTGCATATTCAGTATTTGCCATGGTCATTTGGAGACCATATGTTCTCAACAACAATACTGCAACCCGTGAAGACATCCAACTGTATCACAATTTATTCTTGGCCATTGGTGATGCTATCAGACACTATCCATTCCGAGATTTGTGTTTACGGAACTCTCAGGCCTTCTATGATCTTCTAACTAGTGACAGTGGGGACTCCGAGTTTGCTGCAATGCTTGAATTGCATAATCCTGACAAACACTTGAAAACATTGGCATTTGTTCCTCTTCGTGCAAGGTTGTTTTTAAATGCCATTATTGATTGTAAAATGCCTCCCTTTACTTTGTTAGAGGAAGATGGATCGTGGGTAACTAGGCCTATTGAAGCAAGAGAAACTGAGGGAAAACTTGTGGATAAGGTTGTGCATATTTTTGATGCGCTGCAGCCTGCAAAGTTTCATTGGCAGTGGATGGAGCTAAGGTTTCTTTTGAATGAGCAAGCTTTTATTGAAAAAGTTGAAACTAAGGACATGTCCTTTGTGGAGGCCATTCGATCATTATCTCCTAATGCTGAAAATTTTGCAATTTCTGAAAGTGAGAAGTTTTTATCTGAAATTGTTTTAACAAGAATACTTGTCAGACCTGATGCAGCACCACTCTATGCAGAAGTTGCCCGTCTACTTGGAAGATCATTGGAGGAGTCACTAGTAATGGATATAAAATGGATTTTAGCTGGTAGTGATGTTCTATCTGGACGCAAATCAATCAGGCAGCAACTTTTATCTGTTGCTCAGCGCAAAGGTCTTTCAACTAAAGCCCAGTTCTGGAAACCATGGGGCTGGTCAAGTTTTATGGCAGATGTTGCGGCAAATAAGGTTGATAGAAATAAACCAGAACCTGTTTCAATTGAAGAAGGAGAAGTTATAGATGAATCCATAAACGTCAAGAGGCCTGGAAAAATCAGCTCATCTTCACTTGATGCTGAAGGCAGCCAGCAGTATGTTACTGAGAAAGCACTGGCAGAACTAATATTTCCCTGTATAGATCGGAGCTCAAGTGACTTGCGCAATTCATTTGCTGCTGAGTTGATAAAGCAGATGAGTACCATTGACCAACAAATAACCATACTTGTGCATGGTGGCATTAAGCATGGCAACAATATCTCATCTGGTGTTGAAATTTCTTCCAACAAAGGCGGTAGTCGCAAGGGTATGCGTGGTGGAAGCCCTGGAATGGGTAGACGACCAACAGGAGTGGTTGATTGCTCTCCACCCTCCCCCGCAGCTCTTAAAGCATCTATGTGGTTGCGGTTGCAGTTCATTGTGAGACTTCTTCCTATTGTATACGCTGATAGGTAAGTTCATTTCTTTCTAAACATATTTTTGTTGTTCCTTGTTGAACATGCTGAATAGCACACTCAGCTTTATGTCTTCCTACCTGAGCGCTTATGTGCGTACCAGACTTATTTTTCTTTTCTGATCTTTGGTTGCTCTGAACAATCGCCTTATATGCTAATTTCCATTTATTGATATTATTTCTAAATAATATGAGAGTCCTCTTCATGCTTGGTGACCATAGGCTTTAGGATTAATTGATGGATATAGAAAAATTTTGCTTGGATTCTTTGTTCATAATTCCAGATTGGTTTTGAAGCTTAAAGCAATAAGAATAGCTAAAGAGTGAACCACAATGCGAAAATTCAAAATCTGACTAAGTGGTGGTTGTCATATATGGATGACTCAAATGTAGTCACAAGTGGAGGAAGTAATCTTCAATGACATAATAATCATAAATCCATGGTTTCCATGTTGTTGAGCTTAAAGTCTAAAGAATATGCTGCTATACATGATATAACTTCGTGGTTTCCATCTCATTGGACTTATAAGTCTACAGAATATGCTGCTCTACACAGCATGTATTTAGCACATATATTGCTGCAGAACCTGCAATGTTTTCCATGGGCATTAGCCTTCTCTTTTTGACTGATAAAGTTATTCTGCTAGAATAGATTAAATTAATTTACTTATCCAGGTTCCTTTGTTAATGAAATCATTATCTATGTTGTAATTGTATTGAAGTTACCTGCAGTTTATGTATCCTATAAAGCCAATAGGCACAGCCACCTCTAACCTAAGAGTTACGGGCATAGTTCAGTACATAGACACTAATTTTAAAAGGCTATACATGAAAGAACAACAAGATGCTGGTGTCTGACGCATGTGCCTGGCCTAGGACTTCCCTACATGGCAGTGACCATCCTAATCTTTCGATCGTCTCCCCAATCTTCGCTGTTTTCCCTTAAGTATTCTTTGTTTTTCCTTGTTGGCGATTGAATTCCTTTTTGTGTTCGTGTGGTTTGATGGGGTTGGAGATACATGGTTAATCATAGCAACTAGTAGACAAACCAAGATAAGTATATTGGCTGTTGCATATGTTATAGCTTTGAGTGGATTTGTGGAGCAAAATGATCTATGGAGTAGTGTGGACCTAACATATTATCTTTCACAAGTACTCAGATCCTTGGACATTTGTAGGTTTCTGCAGTATGACCTGGATCTCTTCTAGTTAGGAATTCAAATTTGAGATTAACTCTAATTGGTTTAACTGATGAGTGTCAAGTTATTTTATCATCTTTTGACTATCCTTTTCATTCATTAGTTAGCATGCACTGTTTATTCAGTAATTGGGTTGTAATTTTTCTCCTCAACAGTTCTCAATATTTTTCGATGTATTTTACAGGGAACCCTCTCCAAGAAACATGAGGCACACACTTGCCTCTATTATACTCCGGTTTCTTGGAAGCCGTTTCATTCATGAGGATGCAGACCTATCTCTTTCTACGATGGCTATTTCTCGTAAGAAGAGGGAATCACAGTGTAATGCAGGAGCTTTTACAGTTGCCTTGGATCATTCTGGTCTCAACCTCTTTGACATGCTTTTATCTGTTCTACATGGTTTGCTTGGAAGCTGCAAACCTAGTTGGTTGAAGCCCAAGTCATCCTCCAAGTCGACTGTCAAATCTCCTCGAGATTTGTCTGCTTTCGATCGCGAGTTAGCAGAGAGCTTGCAGGTTGGTTTTAAGTGCATTTGCTATTTTTTCTTAGCAGAGAGCTTGCAGCTTGGTTTTAAGTGCATTTGCTATTTTTTTCTTGCTGTATTACAGTAGTGTTTTCCTTTCTAACTGGTCATAATACTTGCTTAAAAGATATTAACACACACGAATTAAATGCCCACTTGGTATTTGGTAATGGTTAAGAGTATTAAGAGATGCTAAGTATGCAAAAAAATTTGCTTTATGGGATTAGAAAATTCTCAAAATATGTAGGATTAACATTCTGGCATAGAACTCACAAGATTTTGCAGACATAACTGTTTTCTGAGTTCGACATCTTCCTGACAGGGTTACTGCAGGCAGGGAATTCTTTTTCCCGTCCTTCAAGTACCTCTCTCATTCTATTATCTTCACCTCCATGTTATTGATCAAATGGTCCCCATTGTTTAATTTAGGAGTTGGTTAAACATTTTCATGTAATTGGTGGAAAGGAATTGAAAGCCGTCACACACAACCCACCAGAGCCACCACCAAAAAAAAGAAAAAAAACTGACACCCAAAAAGAATAAAGGAAAAAAAAATGAAGAAGACCGGAAGGACAAACTTCACCCTACCCGCATGAAAATAAATTGCAAAAAGAGAAACATACAAAAAAGGGGACACATACAACAGGAAAGACAAGCTTAACACACCGCCATACCGGTTAATGAATGGTCTTTACAGCATATTTTTTGTTAGGTGGAACTGAACCATTCGTGCTTGCATGAACCTAACCTGAAAATTATTGGTAAATTATGGGTTGGATAACTTTAGGATCTTTGACAATTCATGTGCCTGGGATTGTGGTTCTTCAACCCCACTGGAACTGTAGGCCTAACCCAGAAACAAGCTTTGCCTTGCATTTTGTGTAAGGCCTGGCTAGTGTGATACAAAATCTATATTCCATATATGTCCTATCAAGTTATACACCACGATTGTTTCTTTCTTCAATTGTCATCCATGCAATTTCCCATTAGCATTATTTTTATATTCATGACAGCAGTAAAGTTGACGCATTTGTGATTTCTTCTGCAGACTGAATTGGACCGTATGGAGCTTCCTATTACAGTAAGGAGGCGTCTTCAGGCTGCCATGCCAATTTTACCTCCTTCTGTCCCTTTCTCTTTTTCTTGCCAACCTCCAACACTGTCTGCAACAATCCCTTCTTCACTGAATCCCTGCATACCAGCTCCTTCCGCTATAACCCCAAGATTAGTCCATACACGCCCTTCCGCCAACTTATCTGCCAAAAACAAGGCATTAGCTTCGATGGACTCGGAAATGGAAATTGATCCATGGACTTTGCTTGAAGAAGGTACAGTGTCTGCTTCTGCCTCTAATAGCAGCAGCAATATGGGTACTGTTAATGGAGATCATGCCAATCTCAAGGCCTGCAGCTGGCTTAAAGGTGCTGTGAGAGTGAGGAGAACAGATCTCACATATGTTGGAACATTGGATGACGATAGCTAACCCCTTTTCTTTTGTACAATTATTTTGGCGGTGGAAGACTTAGCAGCAAGCAGCCTCATAGGTCCAGTACTCCTGAGCTTGGTAAAGAAATTTTTTCAAGGGCGGAATGTAATATATATACTATATATATATATATATATATATATATATATATATATATATATATATATATATATATATATACTGAAAATGAGAATGAAAGCCGCTGTTGTTCTCAGCTGACCGGTTTGTGCAGGGCCAGGTAAACTAACACATAGAAGCTGTGCCCATTTTGCTGCCATTCTTTTGCCAAGGCTGTTGTATATATTAGAGTTAATTATTTTTTTCCCCTCAATTCATCTTAGAAATAGTCTGTAGCTCTTTCAAGCAGCCTCATTTTATATCATGAATGATGATGTACCATTTTGATAAAAAAAAGGTGGCCTTTGGTGTTTCAGTAGAGGTTGGAAAAAGACTGGTGATTTAATGCACAAAACGGATGGTGCAATTCCATCCCCTACGAAATTAGCGTGACCACGGGGAATTGTATCGTTAGTTCAGTTGATTAACTGTAGCCAATTCAAATTAGGGTTTCTATGTTGCCCTGGTCCCTTGTAGGGTATGCAATCATCTTTATATTTAGGAACACCTTTATTGTTTGCTCTAATAGATCCTTGGACCTCCTGCGGTGTAGGTACACGGTCATCTTTATATTTAGTTCCTTGTGGTTTCAAGCTTCACTGTAAATGGGTTGGACATGTTTTGGTTTGGCATGTATGAAAAGCCATTTTCTTTGCAGTCCGCAAGTGGTGGCAGGCTATACCTCTGAATATCTGCGAACTCTTTTGGCAACATCAACAAATTCTCTTTGAAGTATTGAGGGATGCGTATATTCAATGATTTGATAGCAATTCTTTTCTAATCTTGGTTTCTGGATTTCGCACAATATAAACATTTGGTGATCACAACATGCAGTACAACATATTTAGTAAGAAAAATATAAACTGAAAATTCTTTAAAATGGTGACATATAGTGGAACCATATGCTCGTTTTGTGAAGGTGTCTTAGACCATCATCTGAAAATTAGACTTGTGTGCCCACCGGAGTTGATGCTCATCAAGGAATTCTATCGCAAGAGGTTGTCATCAAAAAAGGAAGAATCTTGGGTCAATAATACAATTTTCTTCTATTTTCTGTTACATGATTATCAAAAATCTAACTTCTCCAGTCAGTCCACACAGTAGTTGCTGTTCATTGTTTTTTTACAGATCCGTCGATGTAAAGCACATCATTTATCCAAGAAACAATGCTGAATGCTAAACTCTCAAGCACCCTTGAGTAGCTCTCCAGTATTGCTTGCCCTACGTCCTGCAAAAAACTTCTCTCAGTCTTTCTTTTAATCAAAATTTTTACTCATTTTTACGCTAAACAGAAAATTGATTCATGAAACTCACCCTATTGTACTGAATTTTAGAAGAATCCAACGTTGTTTGCGACAAACCAGGATATCGTTGCTTCAAGCACAGCAGCAGGCTCTCGGCTCTGCTAGCAAGAGTTACATTTTTATCCCCATCAGCCATTAGATCCTTGACAATATCCCATGATGATTTTGGATTGTTCATGTTTGCTTTCCGTCTCCATACATATACCGCAGCCTCAACACGATCAGCAAGCTCAAGCGCTTCGTGTTCTGAAGTTATATCGAGGCAATCGAGAATATATTCTGGTGAAAACTTGTCTGTAGTGGACATGTAGCGATATATCGAATCTCCTATGCTCATTCTTCCACTCTGAAAGACAAATTTTTGGTTAAAACTGGAAGCCCTGAAGTACTATCATGTATATAATAGTAAATTACATAAAATCCTCCAATGACCCAAAAGTGACAGTATGACCCCCCGCGTTTTAATTTTATATGAAGTTTACTTGGATGCAAAATCGGAGTTATGGGATGTGGCAGATATAAACATGTATATGCTTATCATATTGAAAATGGACGCCTCATCGGAAAGATTCATCTTTATTTGCTTATAAATTGTAAGGTAAGGTGATTAGTGTTGGTTCAAAAACATTGCGGGGATATTTTTCTCATTCGTAGGTAGATTATCACCTTTGGAAGTGAAGCAAGATATGAATCTGGGATGGACATTTCAGCAAGAATGCTGGCGTTGATAGCCATTGCAGCCTTGTGAATCTGACTCGCGCACTCGCGCTTCTTTTGCAAATCCTTTCGTGATTTCTCGTTGAGGCCGTAATCTGGAACACATGGAATAGGCAGCCACCACTTCTCGTTATTTCGATGAATCACTCGTCTGAACGAGCTTGAGATTCTAGGGCTCGGGGACTGGTTCCCTTCATCTACATACCAAAACTCTGTGCTCTGAAAGCTATCCAAGATTTCCTGTAGAATTCTACGATGTCGAATGAGCTGATAATCTTTTTGTATTAGCAATTTGTGCATACTAAGTGTTTAAAAAATCTTACAAGAAGCATCATGTCTAGTTTTTCAAGTGCTGGGAGGTTTATGTAGATATCTGATCTGGGTCTACTCTCCATGACCTAAATTTGATGAGATTGCGACATGTTATTAGAAAGGGAACAATAAAAGCGGTACAAAATTCTTAGGTTTTGAAATAGAGGATATTTTACCTCGAGAGAAGTTCCATCGGGCAAAGTTTGGAGAGAGGGGCAGAGTTCAACTATGTAATCGCATACCGATAAGAGGCAATCCATTTCTCTTCTCCACATTGCCTTCTTCTCCTGTGACAGGGGCTCCAATCTCCAGCACTGCCCAAAAATTGTTGCTACAAACAAATAGGAAGAAGGGCGATTTCGTAAGGAACAACCAAACCAAAAATTGCAATTGAACGAAATTATGTAAGGAATAAAACATACCGTAGAGATTTGTAATGGCATTTGAGATTGCTACAGCAGTGCAGACACCTTTCCCGCTTCCTGACATATCCTCACCAAGCAAAAGCTTTGAAAATCTCTCCCTCATAAGCTCGATATCTGGTAATTTCATGAAGTATTTACAATTTGATATCATTCTTTATAATGAATAGATTCGGATTATAGCTTGTGATATACCTGAATTTGACGCTTCACCATCACATGATTTCAAGCCTAAGACCTTGGTCATGTGCTGCTTCATTCCAAGCTTTCTAAGAAGCGGCGAAGCTCGTGCTGCGAGCTTCGAAACTGGCCAACCCAAATTCAATGGCTCATCTGAACTACTTTGCTCGGAGTAAGTTGAGATCTCAGAGATTGTCCGGCTATAATCCAGTGATTCAGCTCCCGGCGTAGAGCATTCAATATCGGTATTCAACCTATCCTCAGAGTTCTCGTCACAAACAGATAAATTCTCCATCTTTTACGTATCAAGATTTGATCTCTTTGCTTAACCCTGCACATTCAAAGTTTGAGAAACCACGGGTTATAATATATAACAACTGTATTAAGGAGGCAGCTTTTTCTTGAAGCATTTGCTTTCTTTTGAATGTAGAGGAAAGGAAACATAGCATTCAAAAAATGTAACCGTTGTATAAAAGAAAAGGTCATCTTTACCTTACTAAAAGTATATACGCTCTAATTTCAAAGCTTTTGCATCAGTTTGAAACTCTTCCCTCTTCTATATCCTCTTTATCTCTTCGGAGTTTGAAGGAGTTTGATGAGAAGAGTTTAGGGTCAGAAAAGCTGAACGATGGGAATAAGAAGAGAATGGATGGACCCCACTGCTTATGATTGGGAGGTGTGGAACATGGGGAGGTGTGAGTAGAAAAAGAATTAAAGGGTTGTCATTCTATGATTGAGTTTGAAGTGGGCTTCATCAAACACTACAAAGAAAAGTTTGGCTGAACTTTGGGGAAAGTGTAGTTTATGAAAGAAATGTTTGCATACTTTGAGGTGAAGATAGGTTCAAATTTGAGTTATGTAGTTACTAATCAGTGCAATTTGGATGAGAAGGTTCAATTTAAGCTACCTAATTAATAATTAATGTCCATTTTGGGGAGAATATATTGCCAGACAACAATTGAACTGAAGAGCTCTTTTGTGTTGTGAAGAATGTTTTATAATGACATTTGTAAATTATTACTGTTTTATATAGTCATAAACATGAGCTCAGTTACGAGGAATTTTGAAGTATTGTCAGTATTATCTCAAAATTTCTAGAATAATGTCTTTTGTGGCCAGTTCTCGTCCATTACAACGGAGAGGGTAAGTTACCACTAATTCTTCTCTATTCTCTCCATGTATGGATGTTAACTGATTGCTCACATGCAGATGGTTCTCATTTGTACGGGTGCTTCTTCAACATGAGCTGCTGACATACTTATTTTTGAAAAACCCCTGTACTTTGCTTTTTTGTGTGTTTGGGTGGGAGTTGTTGTAACTCTTTTGAACTATTTTAGTTTCAGAGATACCCCTAACATTTGTTGTCTGTGTTATTGTCTTGTAGATAACATCCTTAAACTTTGTTTATTCTAGTCCTGTGAACTCTGCGGTGACTCACATAACCCCTGCGACTTTCTACTTTTCTCGGAGGAGTTATGTAAGACACTCCAAAGTTTGAGAGTTTCGCACTGTTCTTTTCCTTAACAATGAAGAATAAGTGTTCAACATTTTGACGTGGGTGCTTTTATATATAAGATAATCTTTGTGAGAATTTATTGTTACGTGTTGGAAAGTGATGTAGGACGCTTAATCTGAGTTGGAGTCTATTTAGATTAGGAAATATAGATTAGGAAATAAATTTAATTTTAGAGTCAAATTAAATTAGGAAACAAAATCAATTCTGATTCATGATTTGTTTCCTCTATTATAATGAGTTAGGATAGAATTTGACACTTTTTTTAATTCTAGTCTTACTAGGAGTCTTATTTGATACTTTTTATTTTTGTAATTCTAGTCTTACTAGGAGTCTTATTTATTTTTCTATTTAAGAAGAGTCATGTAACCCCAAAGGAGAATAATTTTTCATCAATAAAATTTCTCTTTTTTAATATTTTCTTCGTGGATTCGAAGTTCTTCGTGGATTCGAAGATCGTTCTTTGTGGATTCAGAGAACACGCTTGGTGGATTCCGAGATACGTCAATTGGTATCAGAGCCTTGTTCCTCCGATCCGATGGCAGGTGATGAAGCCCCTATTCCTCGAACCGAGTTCGACGTGCTGAGGTCCGACGTAGATCAGCTGAAGACCAATGGTGATCAGATGAGGGCTGCCATAGAGCGATTTACGATGACGGTAGAGCGTCTGAACACGACAGGAGTTCAAAATCGCATTGATGGTCGCCAACGACGTGATCTGACTCCATATGATAAATTCAACAGTGACAATGATCTTAAGTAAGACATTAGAGTTGGGAAGAATAGTGAAGAAGTAATAAAGAAAGAAGACCCACCTTCAGAGCACAATATCTTTCGTACGAGATGTACCGTGATGCAGAAGATTTGTAATGTTATTATTGACAGTCACAGTGGAAGGAATCTTGTCTCTCAGCGTATGGTGAATAAGGTAGGTTTGGTGACAGAGAAACACACACCTCTCATTAAGATCAACTGGATTCACAAGGGCAATGATGTGCAGAACGATGAAGTGTGTCGAGTATCTTTTTCTATCGGTCGAACTTATGTTGATGAGGTTTTGTGTGATGTTGTCGAGATGGATACTTGTCATATGCTTTTAGGTAGGCCATGACAATTCAATAATGGAGCTACCCATAGGAGTAGAGACAATGTTTATATCTTCAAGAAAGATGGATGACGAATTGTGCTCAAGCCTCTTACAGAAAAGGAGCCATCTAAGATAAAGACTATTGAGAAGAAGGAACTCTTGGTGACAAACAACGATGCTTTAACAGAAAACTTGAGGCAATCTGAAGAGGTCCGTGACTTGGTTGTAACTGAAAAAGAAGAACTTGCCTCTACCGAAATTCCTCCTAATGTTCAAACACTCGATATACATGAAATACATGATGGTGATATGATAGTGAAGATGGATGATATGCATGATATTCTTAAAGTGGTTGAGAGTGATATTCAACATATTGATGTTGTCCCGATAGAGGAGAAGGATAAAATAAAGAGTGAGACAATTGATGGTATGTGTGAATTGCTTGGTGGAGGGTTCGAGGCAAAGAAGATGAAAGAATTATGTATGGAGTATGAGGGAGAAAATTCTTTTTTGGAAGCAATGAAGATGAAAGAATTATGTATGGAGTATGAGGGAGAAAATTCTTTTTTGGAAGCAATGATCATCAATAATTTCAACAACGGGAGAAAATTCTTTTTTGGAAGCAATGATCATCAATAATTTCAACAACAATGAGATGATACCGCCGACATTAGAATATAGGAAGCAACATGGAATATGTTTAGAAGAGTTTTTCATACCAACTACAGAGCCACATGTTGCCAATTACATACACATATCATGGGAAAGATCCATATACGAGTTTTATACAGAAGAAGCCCTAGCAGAGGAGACAAAATAACATACGGAGAAAATCAACGCTAAATATAAGGTGGATGCAGATCATTGCAAGAGAAGAAAATTATTTATCAATGAAGCTACTATTCTAACAAATATAAGCTCGAGGTTGAGCTTTTTTCAACAAGGGGAGACTGATGTAGGACGCTTAATCTGAGTTGGAGTCTATTTAGATTAGGAAATATAGATTAGAAAATAAATTTAATTTTAGAGTCAAATTAGATTAGGAAACAAAATCAATTCTGATTCATGATTTGTTTCCTCTATTATAAGGAGTTTTTTAGATAAAATTTGACACTTTTTTTTTGTAATTCTAGTCTTACTAGGAGTCTTATTTGATACTTTCTATTTGTAATTTTAGTTTTATTAGGAGTCTTATTTGTTTTTCTATTTAAGAAGATTCATGTAACCCCAAAGGAGAATAGCGTTTCTTCAATAGAATTTCTCTTTTTTAATATTTTCTTTGTGGATTCGAAGTTCTTCGTGGATTCGAAGATTGTTCTTTGTGGATTCAGAGAACATCATTGGTGAATTCCGAGGTTATCACTTCCGCGCTGCGTCAAAACCATCAACTTAGTCCTATATTATTTACATATATCGATCATTTCTTTTTCAAACTGGGGACTTTTCTCTCAAGAATATTTTAGTCGGTTGCCCGTTTTCAAATAGGGGTCCACTGAGAAGAGCTGAATGCTTAGTGGGGTGATATAAGATAACCCAAAGTTCATGGGGTTTTAGTGAAAAAAAAGGTCACGGGGGTTACACCCTGTACGCTTGGTGCGTCAACCCGACATGCATCTGAATTGACATTTTATTTATTTCTCCTTGCCCATACTCTTGAACTTCATACGCAATATTACTTCATTTTTATCTTGCAAACTAAACCCTACGGTGGACCAAGGATATGCTTTCGCAATTAACCTCTTTTGTGTCACGTGATGGTTAGCTGAAAATGCTGTTTGCTGCACTGAAGAAAACAGCTAGCAATGAAGTGTCATGTTTCAACTAGCTTACTTGTATTGTATTTCTGTAGTTCACAGAAACTTCAGCAGTAATGAAAGAATAAAAAACTCTCCAATAAGGAACAACTTACGACTCCATTCATTCACTTGAGCAAACAATGGAGCATGTTCTAAGCCAAAATTTCATATTAAACTACTAAAAAGCAAAGGATATCCTCAAGAAATGGTGCGAAGTTTGTGGTCTTCACGATCTCTATCTTTGCTTTTATTTTTAAGTTTGACTAAGGATAACGGAAATGCCGCGCACGTAAGTGTAGTTGAGACATGGGAAAGCTCATTGATTGATCACTAATTAATAATGTAAGCAGACAATTTTAA